GGTGGCTGTGTTTAATTTTATCAGTGATATTCAGTGTACAAATCAATAAAGGTTCTGTGTATGTTCGAATGTCATTCCCGCAATAGTTCCCTGTCATGCTATACTCCAACCACACGGCATTAAAGCACAAAAACCAGCCTCTAAACAATTTCGTTTTTTGCTTCTTCTCACTAAAATGTTTGGCATTTGTGTCAGGAGCTACCCATTTATTAATCTCTTCATGTCTTCAAAGTCTGTGACTAGCGTAGAACTGACTAGACCTTTGAAAGACAGAAAGGTCTGTTATGTTCTGTAGACCTACAAATATCACGTGACTAAATCGCCAATATAATACCGACTTATTTGATCCTGGCTCTGTGACAAATCAGTGACGTGTTAACCAGTATGAGCAGCCTAGAGTCGGCTCTGAGTCTCTATTGATTACTCCTGCCTTTCACTGCTCATTGAGTCCAGGACGCAATCTCAGCTTCCACTGTATGAGTCATATATTTCAGACATACATGGTTAATATACAAGCAAGCGAGACGGAATCACATAAGAGAAATAGAGATAAGAAATATACAAGATCAATCCGAAAGTGTCTGTGAGTGTGAGAGACTGTCAGTAATAGGTTGGGAATGACCTCAGAATGAAAAAACGTATAATGGTAGCCACTTGGTCAAACGAAAGCTTATAATGAAAGCAATATGAATATACGTATAACATAGTTAGTTGATAATTATCCAATAAGAATATACGTGATAATAGACTATAAATAGCTCCTAGCAGTTACCATTCATTTATTCTTTGTTCAGATATAACGAATTCACTTGCTGTAACATTGGAACAGATATGTCTATGATCTTACTTACTTACTTACTTACGCCTGTTACTCCCAATGGAGCATAGGCCGCTGACCAGCATTCTCCAACCCACTCTGTCCTGGGCCTTCTTTTCTAGTTCCATCCAATTCTTGTTCATTTTTCTCATGTCTATCTCCAGTTCTCGGCGTAATGTGTTCTTTGGTCTTCCTCTTTTCCTTTGACCTTCAGGATTCCATGTGAGGGCTTGTCTTGTGACGCAGTTCGGTGCTTTCCTCAATGTGTGTCCTATCCACTTCCAGCGCTTCTTCCTGATTTCTTCCTCCACTGGGATCTGGTTTGTTCTCTCCCACAGTACGTTGTTGCTAATAGTGTCAGGCCAATGGATCTGAAGTATTTTGCGTAGACAATTGTTAATAAACACCTGTATTTTCTGGATGATGGCTTTTGTAGTTCTCCAGGTTTCAGCCCCATACAGTAGAACTGTCTTGACATTTGTATTGAAAATCCTGACCTTGGTGTTGGTTGACAGTTGCTTTGAGCTCCAGATGTTCTTCAGTTGTAAATATGCTGCTCTTGCTTTGCCGATCCGCGCCTTCACATCTGCATCAGATCCACCCTGTTCATCAATGATGCTGCCCAAATATGTAAAGGTTTTTACATCTTCCAAATCTTCTCTGTCAATTGTGATTGGATTGGTGCATTCTGTGTTGTATCGGAGAATCCTGCTTTTCCCTTTGTGTATGTTGAGACCTACTGCTGCTGAGGCTGCTGCCACGCTGTTTGTCTTCTCCTGCATCTGTTGTTGCGTGTGGGATAGAAGGGCCAGATCGTCTGCGAAGTCTAGATCATCCAACTGCATCTTAGATGTCCATTGTATCCCGCGCTTTCCTTCAGACGTTGACGTCTTCATGATCCAGTCGATCACCAGGAGATCATGTCTATGATCAGTGAACATATATTCGATTTACAAGCATGTTCCAAGGAAATTGAGGCCGCAAAGTACAAGGGCTCTTAACAATACAAAGCTCGGCATTTACTTGACACCGGGTACACAAATGACATTCCTCAAGCTTTCAAAACTATTAGCAGACAAAGAAAAACTGCTTCTCTTCGAGTTGCTGAAGGAAGTGCTATAAAAAACTTAAAGCTGATCTATGTATTCAAAAAGCGACAGTAATAAACCTGTCACTACCATGGTAATTCATCTTTTGGTCATTGGTTTTATTTTGTTAATGCTTAGTTTGTTATGTTGCTCTTCCCTTATTTTATATACATTACGACCACCACTTAACTCATGCATTTACACTCACTCAATTGTCTTGAATTATGTAAACTCTTCAAATCTTGTTCAGTTATTATTCAACTTACCTTACCAGTTTTTTTCGATTCCAGGAATCTTGTGCAAACCCTTCATTACCTCTAAAATTATCACGTAATTGATCTTATCTGTCTCCGAACTTTACTCAATTATTACATCACCCACCCCGCATGTTTTTTATTCTAACACTAAATGACCTCCGACATATATATAATTATTATTGATAACCTTTGTCATTCCAATTCTTTTTCATTCACTTATGTCAATTGTTTCACACTATATCTTATCTCAATTAAAATTTTAACACATACTTGGTTCTAAGTAACTGATAAAAAACCACGAAATACAATGAGTTCATATTATTCTGCATCCATGTTTTTTCATGCTTTATTTAAATTTTTTGAGTTCAGATATAAATGATTCATTCTCATTGACTAGAAATTCATAAATTATAAGTGAAACATTGTTAGCTTCGAGTTGCAAATTATAAAATCCAATAATAAAAATATCGTACACACAGTAATACTTTAAATGAAAACTTGGATGTTTATAATTATGGTACTGCAATCATGAGACTTTATAGTTATTTCTGAAACGATGGATTCGATACTATTAGTTTCTACAATAAAATTTTGAAATAAATAACCTCATTTCTTGAATTTGTTAGTGAATTCTCGACGTTGTTATCAAATACAGAATCTTTTCTTTATCAATATCGGTAGTATTGTCCCGATCTAGATTAAGAGGTTTGCTATAACATTCAAGGAAATGAGTGTTAGCGCAACCTGCAATCTCAATATGACCAATCTTATTTTACTTGAAATATTTGGTAATGTGAAGTGTCATGATTTTCTTAAGTTTAATGTACTACAAAACAAACATATATGAAGCTTGCACTCATCTTTGTATACTAGTCGTAATTTCGTGATTTATTTGCTGTGGGTACTTGCACGTGAATTAGAACCACTATCAGTCATAATGACAGTAGTATGACTCATTTGTAGCTGTTATATTTATTCCAAGTACAGGAGGTTTGCATCTTCTCATGGCCGTCGCTATTCAAATGACCTTCACAGTCTCCCACATTTTAAAGCACTTCATTTGTCTGTATTAATTGTTGCTCTGGTTGTCAAAAGTTCAGTCAGCCTTGTGGGTTCTGCAGAATCTCGGCTTTCACCATGAAGACTCTTCAGATCTCAGTACAAAATCTGAATGGCTTTCTCTAGTAAACATTTTTGTAGTGAGGTTCTTTTTTATTTGATCTAGTTGTCAATCTCACTTCCGACTATCCTCTTCTACCCAGACTCGGGGCTCTCAGAATCACTAAAGAGGACATCAGACCGAGGTAAAATAGATCATGTTTAATTTATAAATCCTTTCATTTACTAACTAGGATTTTTAATCTTGAAAGAAGAACGCGAAAAGCATATAAAACAAAAACAGTGGAGTATTCATAACTAGTTTTCGTCCAGTGAATATTTATTCATCTCGATTTCACATGAGGGCAATATCTAATTAACCAATAAACCATTGAGATTATCTATCAAGAAATGAGATGTCACAGCTTATTTGGGAAAAGACAAAAACAAGATAATGATGAAATAACTTTAAAGATGATTGTGCCAGCGACTATCTAGGAGTGGAACCATTTAGTCTTCTATGTAATTTGTAATATTCTAACGAAAATATGTCACGTATTTGTATGTAATCTGTGGATATAATACAAGAAAAGTAAGTGGTCAAATATTTAGAAAGTTTAGGGAACTTATCTTCGCTTCCTGAAAATAATGCGTGTATTCATCATCTATTGAAATAATATACTGTTACCACCTAGTGGAGGTATGATGTATTATTCTGTAAATCAGATAAACCCCATATCAATGAAGAATATACAAAGAGCTTTATATGAAGGTTTTATAGCAAGTTACTACATTAATAATATGTGATTTTTCGGAGGATTTTACTTAACCAGTAAACTGACTTACTTAGTTGGGCATAAAATATCTAGCGTTGTCCTTAGTGTGGATAGATTTGAGCTGATATCTGTCAACATAATATTCTGAGTCATCAGTCAGTTCTATGAACTGATCACTCCAGTATACAGGTAAGTGTACTGTCCTTACTTTCAGCATGTAATTAACGCTTTCGTCTAGTACATTTTGGAATGTTACCATAAGTGATCTGCTTCTTACTTATACACTTGGAATGCATTTAATTTGACTTCATAGTCGCGAAGATTACCAGCTTACGAGCATAATTATAAAACGTGAGGATTCAATAATTCGCTTGTGATGATTAGAAGTATTTGAATAATTATACTAACTAGAAATTTCAGAAATAACGCAATTCGAGCCACAAAGAACTAGGTGAGCACAAAAAACGTATTGTATTTCGAATTCGAAACCAGACAGACATCAAGTACAAAAGAATCATTAGTTCATTCAACCTCGCATCGGCGTCGTATGTTTACATGAAATCCTCTGACGTAACTATATACATATACCAACTGCATTTATGATCTTTCACTGCTGCAATATTCACTATCATCTAACTTTATTTTCAGCAACATCTTGCATCAAAAGCAGTATTTAGGGCATAAAACCATCGATTGACTTAGTCCTGATAAGTAGAATAATAAAACTATTACTGAGAATAAACAATTTAACATAATGTTTAGTTCAACATCAATTAAACTAACCCATTGAAGTTTAGAATAATGGATGCAATCTGCATCATGTGAATGGTTGAAGTCTACAATTTACACATATTTGTTAGATAATCCAAAAATGAGCCAATGAGAAATCCGTGCATGACAAAGTGTTAGCAAGTTTCGGTTTGTGAAACAGTATTTAAACGAACCAAATCAAACGACAAAAGTTGTAGACCTCGTAAGTCGAAGATATGCTTCCTACCGTCTTATCAACAGTTCCGAAATGCTTGCTATTTTTCATAGCAGTCATACTATCACAGTATAAAATTGAGTGTAAATCGTCATTATTGGATGTAACAGATCCGGAAACTTGGAAGAGGTTGGCAGTTGAGAGATTTAGTAAATTTGAACAATCATTATATTACTCATCACTGAAACGACCAAAAAATATCATCTTATTTATTGGTGATGGTATGAGCTTGAGCACTGTTACTGGAGCAAGATATTTGAAAGCGGAGAAGATGAATCTTTTTGGTGGTGATGTACAGTTAGAATGGGAAAACTGGCCTGTTGCATCACTTGTCCGTACATTCAACTCAGACAGACTGACGACAGATTCAGGTTCTGCGGCAACTGCTTTTATGTCAGGTAAGTTGTGAGGTGAACTAATGTTTTTAATGAAACAGTTACTACTACATGCCTTATTGTAATTACATTGTTATATTTTATTCACTATATTACCAAATCAATGAGTCCTAGTATTTTAAGTATTGAAGAAAGAATCATTTGTGTGTGCCGGGAGGTTATTTTTAAACATTGCTATGATAGAATAATTTGCTAATAGATAACAATATACACCCTGTGTAATAATAATCGAAACGTTCCGTCGATTATAGAACAGTGTGTATATTTGAAGCAAATGAATTTAGATCCACTTGAAATGTTTTGTGAGACACTATTCTGTAGATAGTCTTGTTTATTAAATTGCTTCAGTAATTCTTCGGGAGAATAGATAAATATATAATTAGTTCCACATACAAGTCAGATTGATTACCTTTTATGGGAGATGTTATTCAGATCCACGTAGGTGTGGTACAAATCGATTTTGATGTTTCTGATCAGTATTTAATTATCCCATATCCACTAATGAAGTTCTCACTCCATTGAGTACTTATACTGATCCGAGTTTCCCATAATTTTATAATCTGGAGAAAGTCGATTGCAGTAAAGATAAAAACTCATCTCCTCTTTGTGGTTCACCTTATTATGAGCTTCGATGGAGTTCGTATGGGAGGTTAAGCCATATAGAGCCAATTAGGTAGAAAATTAATTAGTTATCGATTAACAGTAATGATCACATCAAATTGATTGAAATCAGTAAACGAAAACCATTAGCTCACATCTGAGTGATTCAATAATGTTATTCTCCATGTGATTATGAATTCATGAGCTAAATTAAGGCGAATAACCAGTGGACAGTGATACTTCTACAATGTTTCCCATTTGGTATTTGTCAATAATGGAAAATATGCTAGACTAAAACTTTTGAAATACTGAATACTGTAAATAATGTATTCTAATCGATCGAAGAGTCGAATCAAAGTTCATTTTAAACAAAGAACATGTTCTGAAGTGTACGCATTAAGACTTCAAAAGGTTAAGTGTCAAATACAGTTTTCATAGTTCACTGATATAAGTCGAAGGAATGTTGATTTAACTTGAGTTGGAAGAGTAAGATGCTAGTCTATGAGCAGATCATTATGCTATCAAAGATGAATGGATTTATTATGATGAGTTGTATGCAAAACCGCACACAGCAATTTAGTTTCCTGTTGTTTTAATTAATGAGATATTTCAGCTACATGTTATATTGATTAAAACATTTTCAGGTGTAAAAGGACCAGATGGCACTGTTGGAATCACGGGAACAGTGAAGTGCTGTGAATGTACTGAGTTGAAAGAAGTGGAAAGAGCGAAATCTTCTCTCATGTATGCCTCTAAAGCAGGATTTTCCACTGGAATAGTAACAACTACGAGGGTTACTCATGCAACACCTGCAGCAGCATATGCCAATATGTTGCATCGAGATTGGGAGTCGGTAGGGTGAGTGCAAATTATATTCGACAATGATTTTACATTTATGTATAGTTTTAATGTGATAAAGTACACAAATTATGTGTGCAGGTTTTATCGTAATTAACTCCGTTTACAGTTGGTGTTTTGCGTATTTTGTCTGAGTACGACAAACTAAGAAGCAATAATGTTAAAACGGTTTTCCCCAATACACTGTGAATGAAATATGTAAAGTTGGTGAGACTAAGATTTCCTTAGAAAAATGATAGTGTAGTATCTATAGTGGTATCTATATATCATAAAGTTCACTTAAGTTCGTTTCCATAAATGATCTGTTTCATATCACTTAAAAGGAATTATAAATTTGAAGTGAAATTTCACATTCCTCTGGAAGCTATTAAACATTTATCAATGCAATTGCTTTATTGTTACTTTATGTCAGATTGCCATGATCCTAAATAGAATATTCTTCCCAATGATGACTTTCTTATTTGGGCTCCACACAGTCATGAATAGACAGGTTCGAAACCACCGTTCACCTGCCATGGTCAATAAAATGATAGTGCCATTATCATCTCTACACAAAGATGTTTGGTTCAAAATAGAGTCAGAACTTGGGTTTTATGAATGAGTTTATAATAAATCCTCTTCAAAATTGTCAAGGGAATCTATGTTGATTGCTTTATCATCTATGTGATCGGCTGCCTTTACCCACATGACATCTGGTGAAATAAAACACCATTAATTCATTAATCATCTTTAAAAATCGACTTGTTTATCTAACTACATACAGAATTTCAAGATGGATTACGGTATAAATGTGCTACAATTGATCCTAGAATGTTCAGGATAAATGAATCAACCGGTGATAATCACAATAATATATTCAATATCCACAAATTGCATTAGTGTACGAACACAGTGCAATATGGGCATAAGACAAGGTGTGATGAATAAATTGCCAACTTATTCACGAATACATATAAGAGCCTACCCACATTAATTTATCTATTCGGCTAACTGTTTGAATTGATTTATTTATTTCATTTATTTATTTGAACACATAAGTATTGGTACAAGAGGGCGTCAGATATATATGCGCCACACACAAAGTGGGAATAAAAGAGAGTGGATAGTGACGTAGTAAATAATAATAATAACAACAATAATAATAATAATAATGTGAATCGTTTGACTGTTAATCGAATCAAGAATAGTATTTTCCATAAATATCGTCATTTCATTCTATTTGTGTGTGGGCTGTGATACCGCCCGGACGCCCAGACCGAAGCAGGTGGTTTTCTTAGAGGGCCACACCCCGAGCCTTTGACCTCATTATTATTATTATTATTGTTATTATTATTATTATTATTATTATTATTATTATTATTATTATCACTGTCGCTTATTTCTCCTCTCATTCAGACCGTCAAACAAGCATGGATTCCACTGCGTAGACGCTGCTGCACAACTATTGACAAATGCTTCTCACGTCAACGTCATAATGGGAGGAGGGGCAGCCGAATTCTATGGTCCGTCAGACAATACCACTTTCAACATGAAAGGTAAACGCTCTGATTCACGCAACCTCCTACAAGAATGGAAGGATATGCAGACCGAAATGAATCACAAGCATGTTCTCTTACATACAAACGATGAGTTTAAACGAACCGACTGGTCTTCGGTTGACTATGTTTTGGGTAGGTTCTATGATTCCTGAGTTTGGCTACATAGTGTTATTGTGAATCAGTAACTAGTAAGCAACTCACTGTTTATTTTTATGTTTCAAAATGAAGCTGCCTGAAGCGTTATCGATTGCACGTGCTGTGTGTTGATTGGACCAATGTGTGTTGAGTTACTGACACTATCATTCATTTTATGGCATTTCATTCAGATATAATATTACACATTGATTTTCAGGTTTGTTTGCTCCGAGTCATTTGGCTTATCAACTGGAAAACCAAGACCAACCAAGTTTAGCAGAAATGACAGAAGCTGCTATCAAAGTACTTTCTCGTAATCCTAAAGGATTTCTTTTGTTAGTGGAAGGAGGTAGAATTGATCATGGTCATCATGTTAATCAGGCCCAGTAAGAGATTCTTTATTATTATTATTATTATTATTATTATTATTATTATTATTATTATTATTATTATTATTATTATTATTATATTAACACTACTAAAATTACTATTTTTGTTACATTGTTATTTGTCGTTGAAATGAAACATGTAAGTGTTTAATGGTTACATGTTCTTATAAAAAATTCGGTTGTTGATTGATTGATCATGGACTGATCATGGGAATCACGAAAATCGAGCCCAGTAAGAAACTATTATTATAATTGCAACTATTTCCACTATTAAAATTAATGATTCAATCATAAGGTTATTGGTCTTTGGTAGAGAAGTAAACTGATGTCGATTATTCCTTAATGTTTAACTTAAAGTTCGAGGCGGAATGTTGTTTATTAAAGTTTCCGACACATGTATTTTTTTAAAAAGTGTATTGATGATAAGATTACTTTTTCGAATTCATACTGATTACAGATATGCATTAACTGAAACTTTGGAGCTCGATAAAGCTGTCGAGAAAGCATTGTCACTTGTTAATCAACAAGAAACACTACTGCTAGTAACAGCTGACCATTCTCATTCATATGGAGTGGTCGGCTATCCGACAAGGAACACAAGTGTGCTAGATGTGGATAATACTGCAAAAGTAAGTGTTAATTCTGTTTCATTTTTAATCATTTGAGTAAACAGGAAGGAGTTTCTTACAAATAGCTGAGGTACGTAGTAGACAATAAATGGACCTACCAGTGTCAATCTTCAACAATCCGAAATCGAATGAGAATAGTAACTCGAAGTTATGCTTGGTAATATGTTTCAAGTCTCAAAGCACTTTGCAACTGGATCCACAGTTTCAGAGTTCCCATATCTGACTCCTGAAAGTATGTGTTATTGTCACATAAATAGAGATTCAACACAGGACATTCAACGTAATCTGGAGAAACACAAGCAGACACACAATCAGTCTCAATTTAGTTAAGATACTGGAGAATAATATCGAAATTGCATGATCCGTTTGAAAGGTTTATCAACAGTAAGATTGAAGACAAAAGCTCGTGTATAACACCGGAACAATTTCCAAGGCGAAGAATGCTTACAATGATTGAGTGGAAACACGATTCCCGTTTGGTCGAGATGTTTGTGGAAACTTATTCAGATTGAAGTGGATTTTTGTCACAAATTGATATCAGCCGGGAGGACCTGGAAACAGTGGGTTAATGAACAACTTCTTTCATCTAATAGGGAGTGCTTTAACAATATGTCTCCAAGAAGATTCAACTTATCGGATACTGAGTCAGTGGTCTGACAGTAATGTGCTGACCTGAAGACATGACCACTGTATATCTGATATCTTGTGTGCTCCACAAGGAACATTGTCGAGGAGTCTAAACTACAATAAGTGAAGTACTGCGTGATCATCGGAAGTTCTTCAGTTGATGTATATTCGTCATGAAATCCAGTTTAAAAAAGGATTTATTGAGTATCGAAATGTTGTTAACCGAATACGGTGTTGGTCAGATATTCGTAAGGAAAACAAAAGATTGACTACTTCGTTATCGCTAGCATATTTTATCAACGAATTCGACAACGGATTCTCTCCATTTAACAATTGAAACATAATAACATGAGTTTGTTACATTATAGCGATCTCACCTTCACTTGAGCTTGTATGTTTATTATGACTTCTGAATAACTTACTTAATAAGTAGTCTCACTTGTGTCAGTAACTATTTGCCTATATCTTTACTTTATCATTTACAGGCTTGTGTGAGTATGTGTGACTAATCACCATTTACAACCAACATATATACACATCTTAGTAGGTTAAATGTTAAGCAAAATAACCCTTAGTGTCATTGAATAAGAAAACGAGAATTCAGAGAAGAAAATTTTCTTTTCGACTAAATCATTTACTTAAGATATATATTCGTATATATAGTTATATGGAAAATGTATGTCTATAGGAGGATAGTAAAAAATTGCATCACAAAAATGTATTCGAGGATAAATAGCAAAGGAGGTTACGTACTAATCAAGGGGTAATCAAGGTGGATAACCGTTTCTGATTAGAGTTTGTCGAACTTGAATTAGTTCCTCATCTATCGTGTCAGTGGAACAGATTCATCTGATCCTAGAGGATAAAGAGTGAATTAATTTCCTCTTTCTACTCAATGCAACCCAACCATGGAAATTAGTGTACTGCCCATTCCAGTTAGGTTTTCTGTATATAGATCGCTTTAAAAAACCATCAGGCATTCTTTTTAACCGGACATCAAGAAAATGAAACTCATTATTTGCCTCTGCTTCTAAGGTGAATTGAATTGAAGGGTGACAGTTGTTAAAACTTTTCAAAACTTTATTTAGGTCCATGTCTTCTTCACAAATAATGAAAGTATCATCCATACATCTCTTATATAAATGAAATCTCTCAATTATTGGACGAAGTACAGAATTCCTTAGATTGGCCATTAAGCAATCAGCCAAGAGAGGGCCCACTGAAGAACCCATCCCAACTCCATTTGTTTGTCTATAGAAATCATCATTAAATCTAAACTGCACGTTGAGCGCACATTGTAGAAGTAAATCTTTTAGATAATGTTTAGGGATACACATTTCAAGGTTGTTGTTTTCAATATAGTCACATAAAAAACATAGTTTCTGTGAGAGAAACATTTGTAAAAAGCGAAGTGACATCTAATGAGATCATTTTCTTACCAATTACATTGATATTTTTAATTGATTCGACAAAGTCAAAGGAATCAAGAGAGTTATATTTATGAATATGATTTTTAACAGGTTGTAAAATGTCAACTAACCGTTTAGCAGTCAGTTGATATGGAGAGTTGTTCATATCAAGTATGGGAGGGACAATATTCTTATGAACTTTTAGGAGTCCATATAGTCTTGGTACAACGGAACCAGAGGGTTTAAGGTATTCAAAGAGGTCACAATTGATGATAGACTCACCTTTCATCTTCCATAGTATTTTAACCACCAACAATTCCGTTTTTTCAGTCGTGTCTTTTTGAATGGTTTCTTTAGAGAATTTGATAGGATCGGATAATATCGAAGATAGTCAAGACTATCCATAAGGATAATTCCTGCGCCCTTGTCTGGGCGACATAACACTAAGTCCTGATTTCTCCGAAGATCATTTAATTGGGATTTATGTTCTTTTGTGAGTAATCGACTAATTGTAGGCGTTTTACTTACATATTGATTACAGCAGTCTACAAGAGTTGTTTTGAAATGCTCATAATCTTTATTAGATACTGGAATAAGGTCATTAGTCTGACGAACGAGGCTTTCAAACTGGATTTTAGTGTTGAGTCCATTAATGTTAGTTGACGTACTACAAAATTTAGGACCAAGAGATCATGCTTGTAGCTGAATAGTCGATAATTTTATACTTAAGTAACTGCAAACATATTTCTCTGGAGATTCAAGAAAAGAAGCTTGAGTCTCCGTCTGTTTCAAAGTTTTCATTAATTTTAAGATCACGTCTTCTGTACGACTTTTGCTAACAATACCCCTTGATTAGTATGTAACTTCCTTTGCTATTTATCCTCGAATACATTTTTGTGATGCAATTTTTTACTATCCTCCTATAGACATACATTTTCCATATAACTATATATACGAATATATATCTTAAGTAAATGATTTAGTCGAAAAGAAAATTTTCTTCTCTGAATTCTCTTTTTTTATTAAATGTTAATTACTTAGAGCGAGAGATGATGTACTTGCATGCTTATATATCTGAGTATCATAATCTCTAATCGTTTAAAGATCCTCATCATATTAAAAGACTAATATCTGTACGTAGAATATTCTTTTCTATAAATTCTCTTCAGGTTCTACAGTTCATATGTCCAAATTAATAATTCGAGAAATGCCCAGGTTTAGGGCAAAGTACATCGTTTAAAGTATGTGAATTTATGCTTGTCAAACAAGACAGAATAAAATTGTTAATGTTGATATGACTCAGATAGAATGTTAACTTGGATCTGTGTGTATGTGAAATCTAAGATCCGTGATCAGCAAAGATATAGGTCAGATAGGGTGACAGAACTAATCGAGCAACTACAAATCGGTCAAATGTTTCATGAAAAATTAGTAAGACGTAATAAGGAGGTATAAATGCGAAGTGAATGAATCATGTATAGGGGAGATTATTAATGATGTTTAACCAATAATAATAATAATAATAATAATAATAATAATAATAATAATAATAATAATAATAATAATAATAATAATAATAATAATAATAATAATAATGCAAAGATAACAGAGGCAATCACAATTGATTATGAAAGGCCGTGGTCAAATTAGGTCATCGAATAGCTAAGATTACAATTGATTAATTGACCTTGATGTTGGCCTAGGAAAGGAGGAGTAGCTGAAGATATTACTTATATACGCATAGCTCCAGGTTCTTCATCCGGATTTGTATTTTGTTTAACAATCCTAAATTCACATACTTTAAACAATGTACTTTGTCCTAAACATCGCCATTTTTCGGATTATTAATTTGGATGTATAACCGTAGAACCTGAAGAGGATTTATCGAAAAGTATAATGTGTAATCCCTCATGTGTATTTGGAATTCTTCTTCTTTACATGATGATTATTATTATTATTATTATTATTATTGTAATTAATAATAATAATGTTGTTCGAATTCACCCTTGTTCGTATCGGCATCGGGTACTTGATGAAATTTAATTAAATTTTGATGAGAGTTAAAATTGGAGACAGTAAAGGGATACGCTATGCATAATGACATGATCGATTTGTCTCGGAGTGCTCGATTTCGAAATCATTAATTTGTAACTGAAAATGACCTCATTGAATGTATCCAACGGAAAATTGACGTAAATACGTGTTTTCACAAATAACTGTTTAACAACTAAATGTCATTAATAAGATGATAATTCACCAATTATGGTGTTGACTATAATTTATACTTTATGTTTACGAGCGAAATATAAGTTCTGGTCAGCTGGTGATGAGAGGTCACAATCACCTTGACTTTCACTTGTCTTTGTAAATCGGTTTATATTCGAAAAGTATAAGGTAGATTTTCTGATGTATCAAAGAAATGAATGGTATTTTCCCTGTATCACACAGTAACGTTTCTTCGAAATATTTAATATAGTCACTGAATATCTACTCTTCTTTACATTGGGAAATCAAAATGTTGAAAGATTTTGAGGAAAATTATAGTCATTTAGAACAACCTAGTTATTTTTCAAAATATCCCAACTTACACGTCTCTGTCATCAATAATATTATAACGGATTGAAATAGTGTGTGACATACAATTAAAGTAGACCATATGCGAAACATTGATATATTCAGTGGAATGAAATTATCTAATATTGCTTTGTTTTGTGTTACAGGGAAATGATAGTAAATCATATCTCATATCTTCCTATTTCAATGGACCAAGAGGTATATTGGATGCACCTCGATCGGATCCGGCAACAGAAGATAGATTTGCAAGCAACTATACCGCAGAATCATTAGTGAGACTCAGTTTTTCTACACACAGTGCTGAGGATGTACCGATTTATGCTAATGGACCTTACAGTGAACTATTTCATTCTTCATTGGATAACACATTTATTGCACATGCAACCATGTACTCGCTTTGTATCGGACCATACACGAATCAGTCACATTGTGACGAAGGAAACAATGGATCTCAACTCAGAGGACTTCATCTGAATAACTTTTATTATTTACTATTTCTCGGTGTTATTTTGTACACTTTCATACATTAGTGCATATTTTGTGGTATTTTGTTCAAATTATTAATTTCATGTGTTTCATGTAAGCATATTTGTTGTTTGTAATATTTATCAGATTAGATTAGATAAGGATTCATTAATTGATTTATGGATATACAAACATGTAATTTGTGAAAGAGTTTGTCATTCATATGCAGTTCATATTCTGTTTGCCTGTTTTGATATTCATATTTATATAAGAATCAGTCAAAGCGAAAATCGAAATTGTTATCACCACTTAAATTACTGTGTCAGACCTGCAGTACCAATACAGGCATTCATTGTCGTATCGTTGATATACTAGAATTTCGACTCGTTCCCACACTTTCTAAAACAGTTCGTTAAACAATCACTAAACACCAATTTCTTGAATTACTTCGGGACTTGGATAACGTCAAAATTATCTACAGTCATGTATTTGTTAAAGATTATTTTATCGATGGAGTGGTGAGTAAAATGTTGGATCATAGTGGTTGATAATCGAGAAAGAAACCAACTACTCTATTTCCCGTCGCAAGTATTCTGGGTACTGCATCGCATTTCAAGTAGATAGCTACTAAGAGGCCTAATTTATGGACTGACTTGAACAACTTTGTAAATTGTCAATAAACTTCAAGGTTTAATCGGACTTACACAGATGGCACTTATACACAATAAAGTATGGTTACAATCAGTGGAACATTCAGTACCGAACTTTATCCATGGATAGTTGACGCAATACTTCCTATCATTATAATCCAGAAAAATTATTGGATTATCGAAATATTAGTTCTTGTGTGATGTTATGAAATCGTGATGTCTCTCGATCTTCGCAAAACTTAATTTATTCCCTTCTAGGTTAGTGTTCAGTCAGAAGTGAAAACGAGGAGAGATATTTCTAACATACTGGATGGGCTAATGACTAACACATTTGAAAACACAACAGTGAGGATTCCTCATGAACAAAAGCAGAGACGATTGCATATTACAAGATGGATGATATATCTCAATACAACGCAAAGAAGAAACTAAATGTCATGATACGAATATAGTGTTTCACAAGATGAGGAATAATCACAAATAAGTGGTGTGTAACAAACGTTTCCTTGTCTCGTGCTCATATGACATAAAACAAGGCCAAATTGTTGGTACTGAAATGTGTGGAGAAATTGATTATCATTCAAAAACAATATAATTTATTTTGATTATGTACAAATAAGCTTAAACAGTACTGTTAATAATAAATTCTTCTTCACGAAACTGCGCGACACAGATTTTGGAGTTTTTCTCCAGAATTTTTACTGAATTTGTTAAAATACCAACATACCCATTGATCTTTTTCTTTGCTTCTGTGTATTTTGTCTGCGTGTTGACTTTCTCTGTTCTTCTACTGTATATTGCTCTTCATCAATATTCGAATAAATCCCCATTAACAGTCGCCTATGTATTGTTCAGCTAAACGGCTTTGTAAGAACTCGGAATGATAGGTACTTACGTCATTGCCTTTTCGTCGTGTCTGCCTACGCTCCTACGGACCGCAGCCTGGATGAAGTGAAAGATGATTTTTACTGTAAGCTCTCTGAACGTCTTCATAAAGCATCCTGCTCAGACACAGTACTCATAGCAGGTGACTTTAGTGCCAATGTAGGTAGCTTAAGCCGAACAGAAAGGCATTGATGCGGGTATTTCGTTGTTCCGGCTCAGCTATCAGTTAATGTTGACCGTCTGCTGTAACTGTGCTCAGAAAATTGTTTATTTTTAACAAGCGTTAAATTTAAGCATAAGGAGAAACATCGTCTAACATCCGACCGCCTGAAACAAACCAACGATGTACTCAAACAGACCATATTACCGCCATTCTTCGTTGAAGAGGCCCAATGGAAGACTGTCGCTCATCCTGGAATACCTGTTTGAACTCCGATCATGCTCTAATACGATCATGCGCTTGCTTGCGCCTCACTGGATTTCGGAAAACCACATTAAGTAGACCCATTAGAGTCGAACTCAGTGACGAGTAGGCCAAAAGTGGATTCCAGGAACAACTTAGGTAGTGGTGAAAGAGAGGCTAACCCAGATGTTGCTTTGGAAGATAAACGAACAGCTGTGGAAACGGAAGTGACATCTAGTATTGATTTGAAACAAAGGGTTAGGAAGAACAAATGGATTTCTACTAGGTCTCTTGCACTGACAAATTCTCGTAAACTCATCACATCAGTCTCTGAACATGATGAAGAGTGAAAACGAATCAGATCTAAGTTAACAAAGAGTCTACGGAACGACAGTGAGTAGTGGTGGGTAACGAAAGCAAAAGACATAGTAAAGGCAGCGGCTGTAGGTAACACCAGACAGCTTTTCAGACTAATAAAATCAACTGGGATTAAGAAGTGATGTGTGAGACGATCTCGGAAAAAGACAAAACTCTTATCTGTTCTCAGCCGAGCCGTTTGTAACGAAGGGCGGAACACTTTAAGAAGCAGTTCAGTTGACCCTCAGTTACTCTACAACTACCCTACCAAATATGCTGTCCTGATTGGTGAAGAAACTGATAAAATTCAGTCCTCTTGTGGCACTAAGGAGCAATGCTAGGAGATTAGGGATGTGTTACTCACATATCCAGATGAAAATTGTTGCTTGAGAACTCGCATGTGTCAAAACCTGGACTAAGGATAAGGAGTGAAGTAGTCGAACGCGTCGACAGCGTCAGGAGATGCAGTCTCATGACAGTTGGTGACCAAAGATTGGTTCATACGCAATATTTCCCTTCAGGGTACCGCGATTTAAAAAAGGAGTACACACTCGTGAAGTGGTGTGGATTGTTGATCGAGTGTTCTCAACCAGGTAGGTCGAATAAAATGTATGAAGTCAGGATCTATGTTGAAACCCCACAGAACTGTTTATTTAGGTAATTCGTTCGCCATTACAGATATGAGACATGTTCAGCATTTTGCTTCAACAGATATTACAGGAAACTGATTTGTCAGTATATTGACCAGACCATATGTGATTCAAAAGCTGCACAGTCCGTATACCTTTTACTAACTAACAAATTACAGTCTATGCATTTGTCGTATATTTGATTTCCTCAAACTTTGGGGGAAACCCCAAAGGAGAACACAGGATGATTGGCGTGGAAATGAAAGAACAGTGAGGTCTGAGACGATTGACTGATATTTGCAAAACTTACTTACTTACTTACTTACTTACTTACGCCTGTTACTCCCAATGGAGCATAGGCCGCTGACCAGCATTCTCCAACCCACTCTGTCCTGGGCCTTCTTTTCCAGTTCCATCCAATTCTTGTTCATTTTTCTCATGTCTATCTCCAGTTCTCGGCGTAATGTGTTCTTTGGTCTTCCTCTTTTCCTTTGACCTTCAGGATTCCATGTGAGGGCTTGTCTTGTGACGCAGTTGGGTGCTTTCCTCAATGTGTATCCTATCCACTTCCAGCGCTTCTTCCTGATATTTGCAAAAGGAACAGTCAAATTTGAGACAGTTGATCGACATTTTGCACATAAAGTGTTTACTGTATGATCCCCTGACTTTACTAAGATGTTTTGTCCGACTGTCCCCACTTGTGTTCTCAATCCCTACGATATTATCAAATTTGTGTCATTAAACGGCAAGGTTAGTAAAGGTCTAGTCACTGTTATGAACAGTGACAGAACAGAAGGGGTCGAAATCATCCTGCAATAACCATAGATGGATTAGTTTGACTAATATAGCATCTGAAATGCTGGCTTCAATAATTATCGGACGCCTAACTAAGACACGTGAACTGCAAACATGAAATAACCAGGCTGACTTTACACCTGATCGTGGCTGCATCGACCACATATTTACCATTCTTCAGGTTCTAGAACACATGCATGCTTATGGGCATCCGAAAATGGTGGTGTTTCTTGACTTAAAAGCAGCATTTGACTCTGTTGACCGAGAGGTTCTGTGGTACTGTATGACATTGAAAGGCGTACCTCAGAAGTAAATTAACTTTGTGAATGAGCTTTACTCGATCACTACCAGCTGAGTCAGAGTTATATCAGAAGACAAAGCTGTCCACCATCTCCAATTTTGTTCAACTTCACCATATACATACTGATGGAAGTAACGTTCAAGTGGACTGAATTTCCAGTAATCGATCTCCTATCAGGAGGTTCACTTATCGACTTAGAATACGCCGATGACATAGCCCTGTTTGATGAAGGCGCTGATAAAATGTAGTCTTTTGGTAGCACTGAGTAACAACGCCAGGATGTTTGAGATGCGTCCCTCCCTCCCTAGATGCAAGTTGTTGCTTCAGGACCGGCCTGCATCAACACCCGAACTAAAGATAAGGAGTGAGGTAGTTGAAGGCGTCAACAATTTCACTTGGGTCGGCGTCTGTCGAAATCTGCGCGGATTCAGAAAGCTCGTTTGGCTTTTGCCAACTTACGTCAATTGTGGAGAAGGCGACATATCCGTCTATCAATTAAAGGACGAGTATACTGTTCAGCAGTTCGTTCTGTTCTACGGCTGCCAAACGTGGCCACCAGGAGTAGAAGATACTTTAGTATTTGACCACAGATGTCTTAGAAATATAGCTCGCACCTGCTGTGATCACCAGATAAGGTACAGCTTAATAAATAAAAAAAATAATGTCATAAAAACAAGGTAAAAATTACGGAACCAGGCATTCGGTTGAGACGCATATACACTGACTTCGTTTTTTGTTTAGCTAAAGTGTTCCGACATGCTTGGGAGCCATCACAAGACACTTAGGTGATGCAGGTGAGTGGCGTGCTTTCAGATTTTCATGTTTATTGTGACTAATTACCTTGTTAGGCCAATAATATGAGTTTCGTTGAAGTCAGTGAGAATTTTCGCAGACGTAGAGCCACTGTGAACTTGTCACGTTCCCTTGGCTGTCATAGATCCACTTATAACAGAAGGTGGAATAACATGCGAGCCGCTTTCATGAAAAAATATGACTTTCTTTCGGTCAGTGAGTTTGCTAATGAAAGCACCCTGAAAGGTAAATGAGTTCAACAGTGTTGTTTATAAAATTGATACAAGTGAAGAGAGAAATATGTTGTGATGACAGTACTTCAACTGTTTAAGATTAGTAAAATAACTTCATTTAGGCCTGATAATGTAGTAGTAGTAAACGGACAGCCTGGTTTAGTCACTGATATAAAGGAGGATGGGCTACTGAAATTTAGATCTTTCACTGACCCACGCAATTCCTTCGAAGATCCTTTCTCATCTAGTGATATAGGAGTCTTTATGTGCTCTGTAGTTAGCCATGAATACACATGGGTATCGGTTAAGGACATTGATTGTAAATGTATAGCCATAAATTGTATGAATTATCTAGTTCTAATCCCATTGTTGCATACTATAATGTAAATGTATTTTGTTTCATCAGTGCTTAGTTCATTATGATTAACCACTTAATTACGTCTTATGTTATATTTAGCCCGCTAACAAGCAATACGTTGTTATTGACGTCCCTATCAAGAAACAACTCATGATAGCAGCCAAGAAGTGGATTGTTAGCAAAGAACTGTGCCTTTATCCAGTGGGGTTTGTCGATATCCACCTACAAAGGTGCGACCAACCAGATGAAAATTGGGCAATTCTGGAATGTAAAGTCATTGACGAATTCGGTTAGTAACAAACACAGAAATTATGATTTACTATAGGTTCTCTGCAGTCGGCGAAAGATGTTTTAATTTCAATGCAAATACTGGAATCTCACCTTAGAAACACTTCTGCGGATGAGAACACATTGTCACAAAACATTGAGAAGCCCAAGAGGTCAGTACAAAAATGTTACTAACATTTCCTAGAGGTGTAATGAAGCGTAAAGAAGATTTTCTATACAGTTCAGTCGACATGGATGTAGCTGAGGTGCAGGCTGGGAATAGCCGCGTACAATATCCCAAATTCTGGGTGTTCGACAAATTCATATCGCAAATCGCCAAGTAGGTTTTATTACTATTTAGATATTCACGAAATAGTTCGACACAATTAGGGATATCACCATCCACATCGGAATCTAAGAATGTCGGTGGTGCTATAGCGGTTGCCAGTAAATTCACGTTACTTGACACCACTTCAAAACGAGCACTTCAGAAATGCAAGTTTTACGGCTGCATACGAAGTAACCTATATCTATTATTTAAACTTCAAGTGCCTTAAATAATCTCTTTCTGTCATCCGCTGTCAACGAAAAAGACCTTGGTAAGCTGTACGACATCGCGAAACAAGGTTACTTTCACGATATCAGAGACAAGATGATAAAGCGTAATAGAAGAAAACAAGATCAGGTATGTACTAATTTAAAGTGATAACTTCCCTACGGCTCTATAGTTACAGTCAACAATATTAACCAACATAACTGTAAGTTCAGCTTCAAGTATTTGGCTGTGCCAAAGCATGTCATTGAGATATGGTTGTGACTTTTTTCTTTTTTTAAATTCAGAATTCACGGGACGACTACCTCAATTCTCAATAGCCGAACGAACGTGGCTTAGAGGAATACTCCATACAATTTTCTTTATGTTCTACCTCAATTTTAATAAACAATTATTTATAAAAGAGCTTACTTTAATACTTACATGGAAAACTATAGAAGTGTTGAGAATGTGTGTTTGAGTGTCAGTGAAATTTCGATCAAATGCACATTCCTTACAGGTAATACATCAACTGTTCCTTCTTTTGCAGATAATTTCAAAGAACAATGAATTAGCAATTGCAATGTATATGCAAAACAATCGATGCTTAAGCTTCTGCTCTAATGCTATACAATAATACGCTTTTCCTTCTCAATTAAAATTTTTCAAAAGTATACCGGTTTTCCACTGCATTGCAGATTTATTTTGGTCTGTTGTTGAAAATAAAGGCGAACATAGGAGACCTTTGGGGTTCTGTCAATGGATCGAAAATAGGGAGTTCTGTGTGTATTTAGGCGAAAAATAGACAATTAAGCGTATAAGTAGGCAATCCCGCGGACATTTAGGCGAAAAGTAAACAATTCATCGGATATTTAGGAGAAAAGTAGACAATTCAGCGGACATTTAGACGGAAAGTAGACAATTCTGCGAATATTTAGGCGAAAAGGAAATAATTTATCGACAAAGCGGCGAAGAAGGGGGAAATCCGAATTATTTCCCCCGGACAGGCGTAAGAGGCGACATTCTGGCGCGTTTTACCCTTTATTTCCCCTTTGTTCGCCTTTATTTCCCCTTTTTTGGTTGTCTGGGAAATTACAATAAGGAAGTTGATAAAGGATGATAGAAAATCTATTCTGTCTGGATAGACCACGCACAGATTCGTTCAAAAGATAATATTCGATGGCTTTGTAACACAGTGTTTCCAATCCTGGAAGAGTGTTTCAATCCGCAATCAAAAATGCACGATTCCAGTCAATACAAGGAATAGAATCAAAAGGTGGAACAAATCAATATGGCTGCTGCCAAGATTAGGTATCGAGTAAAACCACATGAATGCAGTTCAGGAAGAAACATGGAAAATTAGTGATGGCATAAGAAAAATAAAAACTATAATAAAATACAAATATTACCAACTCAAATGGAATCAAAAAGACTAACAATATACAACTAAAATAATCACAAGGAACAAACTGCAAGTGTATACATGGATGGATTTTCACACACAAAACATTCAAAATGGACCTCACAAAAGACTGCCTCAGACTATTTTTGGAAATGAGACAGTAAAAATTCCACAATGTGCACTAGAATCCTTGGGGTACTATTTGTTATTCAAAGATAGCCTATAAGTCTCCTTCTCTAATCAGTAAAGATTCAGGGATTTAAGGTGTCTGTATGATTTAATGTGTCCTACAGATATACTATCAGAACTGTGAATGCGATACTGGAGATCCCAGAATCTATGCGAAAGCTATAGTCAGAACAAGGGCAACTTTACTTGAAACTTTATTTGTTTTCAAACGTAAAAACAATTAGATTAGTACAATAATTAAAGGAATTAAAATCATTAAGTGAAACACACAGACATATCGACCAGTATTGCGTGTCAAAATTTCTACTCATCCTATATTTCCATTAAGATTTTAAAAACAAAATCTGAGCAGAAAAATACTTATTTTCAGTCAGTTTATCAGGTGTTTACACTGATATTTAGGCTTCTAAAATGAGTAGAATGTCGATGATGAGTTAATTGAACAACATACTAATCAACTGTACAGCGTTTTGAAGTTACGATTACGGTGAAGTCTCATATTTCGTTATTCATCACGACTAGTTGCGTAAAAGTAAGCAAAAGAATGGAAAGTGGATGTAAACACAAATAGTTATTATTTGTAAAACTGATGAGTGATTAGTAGAATGGGTGCAATGAAAACATGGTAGTAACATTATTAAGCAGATTCTGCAAGATTAGAATAAAAAATTAAAATACTAACAAAACTGAAGTTCGCAAAGTTTCTAAAAATATGGACATATAAGTTCACTTAGTAAGCCTCCAGCCACAAACAGGCGGTCTAATACCCTCGAATGGTAAGGCAATAGCAGAACTATTGTTCACTTTGGTAGATGGTTACTGTTATTACATCGACTGCAAACAAAATATAGACTTTAATCTAGCAACTTCAAAACATATATAGTCATACATTATGAAGAATGATAATCTAGATGTACAAACAACCCCTTAAATTGTACCTTAATATCATAACTCACATAATTTCTGAAATTAAAGGTCTTGTAGCGTGGAGTCGAATCGCGATTGACTATGAACACCACTACAAAGGAACGCGTGCCAGGATATCCATAAAATCCCCCGGAAGCCAAATATCAGAAAGCAGTTAATGGACAAAGTCGAGATATATTTGCTGGCGATCTCGTGGTATCGAAAGGATACCGAGATCATGCCAGGATACAAGCTTGTTTATCGAGCACAACCGGATTCGTGCGTGGTCACAATCGAAGTAAGTATAATGGATGTTTTTAGCACAGTTAAACAAAAAGCACATTAAAACAGTCACTGGTACAAGTGGTTATAATAATAATTGTTTTTATTAAACCAATCGTGTTATTGTGATAAAACTAAGGCACCACAGTCTCATTTAGTGAGTCTGTCACAGTTTTCGGTAAGTGTTTCTTGCCTTAAGGTAACCCTCGTGCTATTGATAGAAGGAACCAGACAAGTAGTGAATAGGTCTTTATTTCGATCCTCGCGCAGTCACAGTGGAGCGTGGGGTTATTTAATTAGACCAACAAAGCCTCTCAACATTCGATATAAGATAATAGGAAATATAACGCTTACACAAAATAAGGAAGTGAATAAATATTTGAACTATATTGTTTTGGCATATGCTTGGTTGTTTGAGGTCAACTCTTGACCAACCAACCTAAGCTGTTACATTGGCTTCCCCCTAGAATCGACTTCCGTAGGAACGTCGGTTCGATTAACGTATCTATCAAAAACACCTTAGTTCTGTTTTACCAGCCCAAGAGAAAATTATCAACTTGCTCACTGTTTGACTTCTAATGAATGACGACTAACTCCGTCGGCAATCGCCGATGGTCCATGTATGTCTTTTCATTTGCTAGCTTGTTATCTTATTCTGTAGCATGTGATTTATTCTACAACTATCGCTGACGGTTTACTGCGTGCTTTCAAGAGAAAGAGTGTGAGAATGTGGAATAAGAATATCTGAGGAAGTGCCGCGAGCGGGCTACCCAACACCATGTTTGTGAGTTGCGATTTTTCCATGCTCAGACCGGCTATCAGGTGTTTACTCACCTGCCTCTTTAGTCGCCCTCAAGTAAAAAGTAAAGAAGAATCTACTTCAAAGGTAATGGTGAAAACCAATCAAGCCTGAAGAACTGCTCCACTGCCTGCATAAAATAATAAGATACAAAATGGAAATATATAAATGTAATTGATAATTGTTCGGTTCTACACATGTGCTTGGCCTCCAGAACGGATTGGTATTCTGGAAGGAAATACACATAGTGTAGACATCTTGTGTACAAAACGGTATGAAAACAAAAAACTCTTTTATAATGCATAAATGTAAAAGTGTAAACTTGCTAGAAGTTGGACTCATTGTCAACTAGACCAAATGTATGACCTTGGGTCTATGACGACCGCCTTTTATAACCAGGTACGTAACCAAGGGTGCATAAGAGTACTCCACAAAACGGGGAAGAATAAACGGTTAAGGAGGGAAAAATTGTGTAGAATTTAAGGATTCAGTACAGTTGTGTCAAATGCTCTTTTCTGGTTTGATTTAGGTATGCATGATATATTGAAGAAATATTTCGTCAATTCATCCAATTAACGAATTGGTCTGCACCTTAGAAGTGTGTAAGTCCTATTACTCATTAGTATTATGAATGATTAATCGTTGTAAGGAAATATTGAAGCCATTTCAAGTGATCTGATGTGGTTTAATGGCTAGGCACGTGGTCTAGCATTCAGGAGGGCAGAGGTTCGAGTGCGTGTGGGGTCTGCGTTTTTGTTCGCCAAACGCACCTTCAATACGATGTTTGTTGCCCGTAAGTCGCTCAGATATGAGAGAAAAATGACAAGAAGTTTTGTGAACCGTTGATCTGACTCCTATTTAGATCGTATAAATGTTTATTATCGCTGATTCTCGTATATCATCGTCGACTTGGATCGCGTTAGTCCATAACGGAATTAAATAAGTCAATTAACGAGAATGGCATTTGAATACATATATTTTGTATATGAAGTGAATGAAGCAGAGCCAAGCAAAATGATGCACAGGGAAGATGGCTGTGAAGCCAACTCCCTTTTTAATTAAACGTTACTCAGTATTTATAGGCAGACAAAATAAGCTACAGACATACAATGAGTCATGGGACATGAAGTGTACACACATATACGCTCATGTGAAAACAGTCAAGGCTAATAAGCGAATAATTGACAAGGTCAAAATATGGCTCAAGTAAAATGAATAAAATAGGATGTCCGGAAGTTAGAATAAGGTATATGGGCTTGCCATGATAACTGACACTACAGAGGACAGTTTGATATGTCAAAGTGCCATATTGGAAAAGTACAGGTTCTTTGTTTATATAAATAATATTACTGTAGAAAGAAAACCGAAAGTTGGTAAATTTCCATTTTACGTTATACTTAAACCAACGAATATATATATCAGTTATTGACATAAAATGTCCTTTTTATTACGCTAATGTTAAGTTCCAGGACTTTGTATGGGCCACTAATAATAATTGGTTTAACGTTAGCATAGTCGTGATATTAATAGCGTCAGTTCAATGTTATGATTACTAAACAGTT